AATGAACCATAGAACTTCTCCTGCAACTGCAAAATATTTTTAAATTAACCAGAAATCTCAAAATGTTTTAAAATTTTTAAAATAAATTTACTTACTGGTATAATTTATCAAGACTATTTTGTGATAATATGCCATGAGCCCAAAGTATAGACAAAGGGTGAATCTTCACGTACTACAGGTCAGTTGAAGAATTCTCTTTGACTTCTATCAGGCCAGATTTTCATGGCAAGGTTTTTGTTTTAAAAATGTTAGATGTCCCTATCCATTTTATTATGCTAAATTGGAATTTGACTTTAGATTATCTTGTGTAACATTATGCTAGTTAGTAATGTGCCTGGAAAGGGAACTCATTAAATAATACAGTAACAACAGTGAAATATTCAGTGCAGTGCAGTATTCTTTAGCTTTTCCTTACTTTCCCAAATTACCTTCAGGATACTTGTCAAAAAGACAGATGAGCCCATAAGGACAAAAATCATGAGTCCGGTGACTCTTTGCTCCCGGATTCCAAGAAATTTTGGCTGCTCCCCTGGAGCAGAGCATTCTGATTCCAGTTTTAAGCTATTCACATGGGAAATAGAGAGGACAGTTGCTGCCACAAACCAGGGCAATCCCATAATAGAGCACACTCCAAGCATGACGGCCACCATGAGTAGGTCGAGGTGGTATCCACATCCTTTCTGTTAAAAAGAGTAATGACAGCAGGAAGATATAAAATGACATCTGAATTAAGGAGAATGCTCCTGTCAGGCATTCCTAATGAACAGTTAGAGACAATTAAAAAAATCTGTGACTTGTAGGAAAAAATAGCTTTCTCCTATGTGTTATTCAGGTTGGGTCAGCACTGATGGCAAACTGGTTATCTGAGGGGAACTCCTACTAGTTCACAAGAAATGCTTAATGCTATTAGTCTCATTCCAGTTATGAGTTAGGTGTACTTATAAATTCACTTTACAATGGGAACCAAATACCCTTTCTCCTTAGAAAAGAGATACTAGTAAGACAATCTTCTGTTTTAATTAAATCTCTTATTTGTATAATAGTAAGTAGAACATCCAGCTGCACTGACAGCTTTCCATTGCACTACTCTTAATAGAACCTCCATCCATCCTCACACAGGAGGCAGAAAAATAGGTATTTGATTCCTGCCTACACAAAAATTCTTATGTTAACATTTGCAAAGTCAGTTTATGCTATAAAGGGCCATAAAACCACATCAATCCTTTTAAAGTTTTTATAGATGGCAAGCATGTGATAGTAAGATACTTTCATCTTATCTAAGAACACAGCTAGAAATTAAGAGAAATTAAACTGTAATTAAGCTATACATTAAATTAAACTATCAAATAATATTCATCATAAGGTACTGTTTTACTGGTTTCTCTATTCAATACTTAATAGTATCATAAGCATTCATATAAGAAGTCAGTACAAAATCTTTGGTTTTGCATCATATCTGTAGCAGTTAAATACTCTTGATTTACCAACGGGGGATGATGTTTTGCTTTTGTTGTAATGGATAAAACTCTTTGGTCAAATCTGAATAGATTTTAAAACCTGCAAATACAGCCAGTGCTTGAAAACGACCAATGACCTGCATCAAACTTGGTTGCACAGATATCTATTACCACAGCTCAGAAAGATTTTTCTTTTCAATTTCAGTAAGTATCCAGGACCACCACACAGCTGCAAGCAGGAGCTCAAGCTATTTTCCTTTAAAAAGTCAGGTAGTTAGTTATCTCCACAAAATTTTCAATATGGCAACAAATCCAGTGTCATGATCTGATGAAACAGTGATGTTCATGCAAACAATGTGAATATGTTGAACCATAATTTTGACTGTAAATCCATGCAAATGCCTTTTGACATAAAAAAAGTAACTAAACTAAACTTGGAAGGGTTTGCTACAGAGACTGCCAAAAGCTGAAATGTGCACTATTCAGAATTTGCTATGGGAAGTATAAAAAAAGAGGGGAAAACGAGTTGGAAGCAAACAAATCATTTCTTTCTGAAGACAACTTTTACTTCTAAAATGGGAAGCGTCTGGGTTTATGAAAATGTAAGCCACATATCGAAATGAAAATGCCATCTTATTTGCTTACATTATTTAAAAAGGGGAATTCATATAAAGTAAAGAAAATGAAAAGAATCAATTCTAGCAACCTTCCCTCACTCCCCAAAAGTGCTTATGAGTCTTATCTCCAAGACACATCTTGACAAACTCAGAGATGTGTCAAACACAGATATTAGTTACATGCACAATGCACTCAAAGAAAGAGTTTAAATCCTAACAGAGACACCTTTTTTTACCTTCTGACACATTTATGAGGAATGTATCTGCTAATGCATACAGAATCCGAGAGCATTTCCTCACATTCATACATGATCTGAGGAACCTGACATATGGGAAGAAAAGGAAGCATAGCAACAGGTGATGCTACACCAGACCCCAGCAAAACTAAAACGCAGCAAGACAAGGGGGCAGCCAGGAGGACCATCTGACTCCCAGATGCCAGTGCTGAAAAAACACATTCCAAAGCTTGGCAGCAAATTCCTGCATCTGTCAAGTTAACCACATGCAATGCTATGGATTGACATGAAGAGCCAGGCTGACAAAGAGGGCAAAAAAAGAACATATCAATGTCACAATCATCCAAGAAGAGGCAGTGCAAAGTGAAGGTTGCAAATGCATTTGCTAAAGCAACTTGGGATTGGATTGCTGCTTATTAAAAGTATGTCAAAAAAGCCTAAGCTCGCTGCATATACATGTACAGAAACCTGCTGCTAGATTTTGCCCAACAGTTTTTCAGAGGGGTGATGTCCCTTTTTCTCTCTCCATCTGTAGGCAACTAAAGTGTTAGAGAACAGAGCAGGAAGTTGTCCTATGTTGTTTTAAGAACCCATTGTGCCTCTAAAGCTCAGTTTTATTCTTCTCCCTTCTTCAAGATAGGAAGGGGGAAAAAAAAAAAAAATGGGTAGAACCACAGAGGAAGATGGAGAAAAAAAATAATATTCTCTTACAAAATAACCCCTGAATAGTTTTTCAAAATCCAATCCAGTAGAAGAACACTGTCAATATCTGAAGAAACAATCAATTAATATTATGGTACTTAAGGAAATTATTAACTTCCAAATTTTTTTCTTTAGGTCAATAGGTATCATACTTCTGATAAAGCATAGAGGATAGCACTTTCTTGATTCAGAATTTCTGTTCCAAATTACATTCCTAAAGACTTCTGTAAGGCAGCTAATCACTGACACAGGGCACAGGTACTACATAGACTAACAGAGAAAAAAACATAACAATCTAAAGGGGTGCTATATAACATATATTAAACTAGCACACTCAAGTAGATGAAGGTATGTTACATACTCTGGAGCAGACAACAGGTAAAATATATGTAACTGAATACCTTTAGCTTGTGTTCTTTTCTATTGATAATGACAGCTGTGATCTGCTGGTCCATAAAGATAAGGATAGTACAAAGCAAGGCTGGAATTACAGCAGCTATCACTGTCCACCAAGGATTAGGGCCCAAAGGAGTAATAAACCAGCCACGATCATCTCTGGTGGGCTATAAAAACAGTCATGCATGACCAGTCAGACCTCTAAGGATTATTTACATTTCAACTACATAAAAATACATACAAAGACATTACTAGGACATGATTTCCTTTAAAATCAATCTATGTAAGAACACAGAAAATTGCTAAACTTCCTATGATATCAAAAAGAAATTACATACAATAAAATCATCTAGAATATTACAGACTTAGTTGTATTTGATAAAATGAGCCCAGAATTTGAAGGGTACCCCAGAAGATTACAGTAGTCTAGGATTTAGGTAATTTGAGCCGTGCTGGTCCTCACACAGAAGACATTAGGAAGCATGAAGGGACCTGATGGGAGAGGCTCACTTACATGGGCCACTGATCAGAGAGGTTGTATAGTATCTGGTAAACATGAAAAATTCAGAACAGTATCACTACTCCCTGATGATGATAAAAAAAAAAATAATCTAATAAACCCACTATAGCACACTACTTTGTCAAAATAGTAAGGCAGTGCAATTTATCAACAAATTACCTTAAAAGCATTTGGAACCTGAAGTTTTGGTGATGGAATCCCAATGGCATAGTCAATTAAAACCATGGACAAAATAGTGAGAAAGACGGCAAAATCGCTGACAACAGATCGTACCTACAATTATTGAGAGAAATTACAATTTTAACTAAAACATTCATGTGTGATTTAGGATTTATTTTTCTTCACTGTTTTAAACTTTTTTGTGCTTACAGCTAAAACCATGCTTATTCCGATACAATTTTCTAACAGAAAATATGTAGTGTCTGATTCACCAGCAGTTAATTGAATTTGCAATGCAGATGAAATTCATGCTTATGCATGACTAATGACAACTTTTGAATTAAAAAAAGTCACACACCTTTGTTGGGAAGTATCGGCTAGTTTTGAACTGCTTCAGTGTGGATGACAGCGTTACTGTAGAAAAGAATAAGATGACAGACCAGAAGAGGACATCTGGAACATAAGGGCCATGATGACCACAGGCTCGCCCAACAAACTCTCCATGAAACTTTTTACATTCCTATCGGGAGAGCAAAGTAGTAATGTTCTGAAAAGTATCCATGTTTACGCTGATATTTTCTTTCCAATTACTTTCCCAAATTGCAAGCAGATTGTATTACTAGAATAGTAAAATAATTTTTAGAAATTCATTGTTTCAAAATTTAAAACTCCTAGCATTTGTATCTAGTCTGCATGGAAAACTCTCAAATCCTCAAAAGAATCTCTTTTTTAGCCAAAGTTAAATGATGAAGTCACTAAGACATACCATAAATAAAGTCATTAACGTAAAACCAGATTTATTTCAAACTGAACAAGTACACTTATTTATTTATTGTTTGCAAACATAGATTTGCACTTCCTAATTCCTTCCAAGAGAAGTTCAAAGCTACCAGGAGGAAGGCTGCTCCTGGTGCATTCTCAAGAACTGACTTTTTGTTTTATCTTCACAGGCCAAGCAATTCAAGAAAAACTTCTAATTAATGTACAGTATTAGCCTAAAAGGAGACAAATATATTTAATACCACACGGGGGCAGCACATTCCACAAATTATCTTTTTCTTAAAAACATCAATCTGATAAAATGCAGCAAAGTTCAAAATGTGTAACATGAATTCTATCCAATACGTGATCAAATATGCAGATACAGTAGAAAACCATGTCTAGTAATACTCCAATACCATCCCCTTAGTTGTTTAAAATCATAGTCGTTCCAAGTTAACAAGCAGAAAGATGAAGAGTAAAAAGGTGACACACAAACTCTGGACTCCCAATCCTTTCCTTCTGCTTCCCAAATCCCTCCACACTTTTTAAGCAAAAAGAAATGCAGCACCCAGAATCAGAGATTCCAGGCAGCAATACCTTGTCAGATCATGCTCTTTTAGTATTAGATGAACTGGGCCACTGGCTCATCAGACTCACATCACAATCCTGTGGCTTGACATGTTATGAGAAACTTTGGCTTTGAACAAAGGCTGGCTTGAAAAAAAAACTACAGTTGCTATTTGATGACTGTGAGACAAAGGAGTGTAAAATTTTTTATATTGGTATACCAGTAAACCTGGGATAAATATGACATACTTCTGTTTGATGAAATAAAGATTTCAGATGGGGAAAAAATTTTGGGGGAAATCCAGAAAAATTCTCAAGATTTTGGGACATCAAATAGAAAACTTGTCCTAGACTGAGCTGGACTCTGATGTTAGCACAGCACAGGGATTAATTTCATCATATACCTAACGAAAAGGATTTTGTCACCATCAGAATAAACACTTTGCTCACACTTGTTATGTCCTAGATAGGAAAAAAAATTGTTGGTCCTACTGTTGTTTTTAAGAGAGAGTGCCAATCTATATCTTCAGAAACGTGGAACTTTTAAATCAGACACAAGAAACAACAGGAAGAAATGAGCAGTAAAAAGGACAGTGAGGTGAGACTGACCAGGTATTTATATACAACTAACGAGGTCTGATCTTTTACTACAATTCTCTAGAACATGAGAACTGAAGTTTCCTGATGATGCTTGCAAGAAATAAATACGTAAAAGCATTAAAAATTTCAATTATTTCTTGGACAACTACAGGGACTCATGGGGAAAGGTCCATCAGTCATACTGCTATCCATGTAAACTCAAGTTTCAGTAATAACTTACAGAAGTTTTAAAGGGTTTTATATAATGCAGCCGGTCTTTTACATTTATAGTTAAAACAAAATCTGTTATTTTAAATCTCCTCAGCTGCAAATGTACTCTGAAAAACACTGTCAGAGATCTGAGAAAGTGAGAGGAGGAGTCTGCCCCTGCACAGATGCTCTTAGAGTGTGCTGCAATTTTGAGAATATTCATTCTGGATTGCTGGAATCCCTCAGGCCAGCAGTTCTCAACTTTCTCTCTGCTGTTGCCACACCAACAGAATTGAGGAGCAGCCCTTGCTATCACAGCAGAGCAGCCATGAAAGTCGGCTCTTGCCTTAACTCATGATAGAAGGACACCAGTTATGCATTCCTGCCTTTGAAAGAAAAAACAATATCTGCTGGAGATAGTCCACTGGATTAGCTTTGATTAGCGTTTCATTTCGTTATGCCTACGATGAGGTTAATTCAGTTATATTTTTGAGAGAACTCTTCAGTTTGGTGCCTTTTTCACTCCATTCTTTTTGACTGTGTAATGAAATGATCCATTTGAGAGAAAAAGCGGTGGCCTGTTCTCAATATGACATTTCAATCAAGTTGTAAGTGTTGCTTTAAAGAAGGCAAACCTGAAGTAGTAACTCCTTTAAAACTAGAAGGGTGCACTGTTTAGAAACAAGTTATATATCCATGCAAGCTCCCCAAACTGTCTGTAGTTTGTTCCCCCACTGTCCTCAGAAAAAAAATTACACAACTAAGACACAATTAACACTGAAGGCCTGCATAAGAGAGAGTTTGGTCACTGCACAGAAAATAACACAAAATTTCTCCCCTTTCTCTCCTTTATAGCCTGAACAGCTGTAACAATGTTTTAGGGGAAATAAATGCTTCTGAGGCTTTCTACATGAGAGAAATTTGGTTCTGCCATCTGGCAGAATTTAGGACCAATCCGTTGTCATTTGACAGGTTTAGGCTTAATCTCAGTCAAACTCTTGTGCTCGTGTGTCAAGAAGTTACCAAAGCAGGACACAAAATGCACATACTTGCTTTAAAGTGTCCTAGCAAGGGCTGCAAAATGCTTACAAAAGGAGGTAATGCTATGAAGTCTATGCTAATCTTTGTTCAGTTAAGTACCGTTTATGATTTAAATAAATATGATCAGAAAAAACATGGTATTTTTTCCCATATATTTGCTGCAAGTAGGAGAGACAAAATTATTTATGCTTATGCCTTTATTAAATTCCAATATTTCACTTACTGACACAGTTAGGTTCCCCCATGGCACATCAGATGCAGATATGTTGTAGTCCTGCCAGTGTCGTAAAGTTTTATTGCTAGGATGTTCTGGTTCCACACAATTGCATCTGAAAAGACAAAATAGTATTTTTTCCTTAATAATAAAAGATGCATCAGTATTAATCCAAGCACACTGAAATTGTGCTCTACTTTGCCAGATAAGTTTAGTTCAAATGAATTCAGTAAACGCATGCTTTGAAGCAGTGTGTAGTTCAATAGCTAGTGCTATTACTAGAGTGTAATTTGCCGTGAGGTGCATGTGCATATATAGTACGTAATGTGACATATTTAAGCCACTGTCCACAGCAAGTTTTTCCACCTATTTTCCTCCTATTCTACTGATAGTTCCAAACACTGAGACTGCGCCAGTTCTGTTCCACCCCCTTATACCTAACACTTCCCTACATGGGGATTAGATGCTATCCACAGCTCCAGGCTGACCCATTTCTCGAATGCAAACTGTCTGTATTCTCATTCTTTCTCTTGACCAAAATGCCTTTGTGTGCAAAACTGCCAAACTGCCCAGTCAACTGTCAGGGCTCTGCAAGATCACCAGCACCAAAGGCTCTGTGAACTTCTGTGTCCATTGTTTTTCCTTTCCCCACAGCTGCTTTAAAAGCATGCTTTTCATTTTAAATTGTGTATTTTAACACACAAAGCGTGACGAGGCAGTGTGGGAGGACAACTGTAAATAGGCAATTTAAAATCAAAATTAAGTCTTTCAAGCCTCTGAAGCAACTGTGGGAGGCTTTTTCTTTGACAAAGCCTTCAAAATATGAGGATATTCTGTAGGTTCCAAGATGTCAACTGTGCTTTGCAGTTCTCTTTAAACTAATCCTACTTTAAAAATCTATAGTACTATCTATCCTGCTAGTATTTGAATGTCCTTATGATGGATGTAAATAAATTCTGTACTCTCCTTTCTGATAAAGTTTTCAGGAGTAGCTGGGGACAGGATAACATCTGACTATAGAGTGGAGAGGCATTAAGTATACATTTGCATTCCAGTTCTACAAGAGTGTTTATTCACTTACCTACACCATCTATTTTCTCTGTGGCTGTTTATCTTTCCACAAAACGAGAATGCTCATCTAGATTTATAATATTTTCTGTATAAGAAATTCTACCATCTCCATTATGAGTACAGAATAGTGCCACTGTATTTCAATTACAATACTATACATGTGACAACAGCTGCATTTAATATATACACAGAGATGCGGGTTGTCTTTGTGCAACTCCTTGCTTTTATAAGAAAGAAGGAAAGAAGGAAGGGAGGGAAAGGAGGGAAGGGGGGGGGGGGGGGGGGGGGGGGGGGGGGGGGGGGGGGGAGGGGGGGGGGGGGGGGGGGGAGGGAGGGAGGGAGGAGAGGGAGGGAGGAGAGGGAGGGAGAGGAAAGAGAGGAGGGAAGAGAGGGAGGGAAAGAAGAGGAGGGAAAGAGAGAGAAGAGAAAGAGAGAAGAAAGAGAAAGAGAAAGAAGAGAAGAAAGAGAGAAGAGAGAAAGAGAGAAAGAAGGAGAGAGAAAGAGAGAGAGAAAGAGAAGAGAGAAGAGAAGAAAAGAGAGAGAGAGAGAGAAAAGGAGAGAGAGAAGAGAGAGAGAGAGAAAGAGAGAAAGAGAGAGAGAGAAGAAAGAGAGAGAAAGAGAAAAAGAGAAGAGAGAAAGAGAAAGAAAAGAAAGAGAGAAGAGAGAAAAGAGAAGAAGAGAAAGAGAGAGAGAGAGAGAGAAGAAAGAGAGAAAAAGAGAGAAAAAGAGAGAAAGAGAGAAGAGAGAGAAAGAAAAGAAGCCCTCACAGCCCATGAACAAAAACAAAACAAAAAAAACAACCAAACACAAACAAAAGAAAAAGCAACAGCAGTCAGAGAAATAGAGGGCCTGAGCCAAACATCCTTGACGTAGACTGGATCTTTCAAATATATTCAATATACTTTGGATCAGGCCCCAAGTGCAGAATGAATGCGTGTTCAATGCGCAGTTTAAAATATTACAAAATGAGTTAAATGAAGCACATCACTACTTGTGAGCTACGGTAGCATAATAAAGTCAACAAACAGTATGTCTATGTTATTGCAAGGGAGTATTTGATGTTCATGCAACAATACAGAGGTGGCTGTTTCAGGTTACTACTGTTTCCTGTGAGCACAGGAGCTCCCTGGCCCCTGATGTCCATCGCCGATCACGGACTGGGCGGACGCTGGGCGATGGCCCATTGGGGTTTGAGTACAGTAGGCCAAGGTGATGTGGGCTGTTCAATCACAGTCACTTTCTCACTAGAAGGGAAGACTGTGCATGTCACCAACACTACATGGTACAGCTACACTTGCCGCAAACCGCAAAATTACATTGAAAAGTTAGAGGAGCCAAAATGTGCATTTCTTTAGTCAGAAACGTGACAATTGATGCTACAGTTTAACACAGTTCAAGTCATTCACCTTCAGATGACATCATCATCCTGTTTATTTCTATATCAATACTACTTTCCTCCTTCACAGCATTCCAGTCTGGCCTTTACCACGTTTCACAGGCATCTACCGATGGCAGACTCTTCAACAGTGACTCGTGCAAACTCCACCCATGCAAACTAAAATCACCCTGCACCCAGCTTCTGTCACCAAATGTGTGCAGAATTAGGCCCTAACAGTAAAGATCAGATCCTGCTTTCTGCTGAGAAGATCATTCAAAAAATGATCTCCGTGTTTTGCTATATATAACATTTCATTGTTTTCAACATTATGTGCCTTTTGGTAACACTGACACTTTCATGTGAGATTGTATCACAGTATAACTGTCTTCCAGTGTCACACTAATTGCTTAACATTATAGAAATGTGAGATAGTAGGATACTCCCGGTCCAGTCCAGAAAACACAATTGGAGGTACCATTCAATTCCAGAAGATAAAAAATTATCTACCAAAATGTGACATTTCATAAGAGATGCAATTGCTTCAATGATGACTATTTCCCAACATAACTGACCTGCACGAAGAAACTCACATTAGTGAAATAAAGTTTTCTACTTTATTTCTGAGATCAGCTCTCAGGAGAAAAAGTAAAACTGAATTGTTAACCACTAACACATCTTTCTATTTTCTTGATAAAAACATTACTCATAAAGCTGGCATAAGTAAAAATGTATTGCCTCTTGGAGGTTCAAATACTCCTATATTCTTGTAAGGTTGCTTAAAGTGCTGAGCACTTGCCTACTACAAGAGATTGTTGTAGAGTTTTTGCTATTACCAACAAGCAAGAGACTATACATTCACCTATATTTTCTAAGCAGCATATTCAGCACCAAATACAGTACCAACTTAGCAATGTGCTCCCATGCCTTTTAGTGATAAGGAGTCAGCAATCACCTTACTTATGCTCAAAGATACAGAATGATTCATTTGATGCTCTTTCGTCATTGCTAGAATATAGGCAGGGAAGACTGACACTGGTTGTGGTGGCAAAAGCATAGGTGTCACTAGAGTTGAAAAAAAAAAAATATCTCTGATGCCAGTCTCACAATATGCCCATTTCATCACACTGATGACAGAACAATTCTTTTTGGTGCCTTTACACTTTCGGCTACTTCAAGATGTTCTGAACTCCTAGGAGCAATTCGGATGTCTAAACATGGGTGCCTGTATACCCCATGGTATCTGTGAAATCCACAATGGGTTGGCACATATGTGAAAAGGGTCTATGGTGACTCATACCTTTATTTTCACAGCAGCTGGAGGCTAAGAGATCTAAAATGGCACTAGCTACCCAGTCACACATAATTCCCTTCTCTATTGAAAATGTCCGTATTTTGCAACTAGGCAGAAATCAGTGGAGCTAGCTTTCTTCTAGGTTATTTAAACATTTAATACAGCCTGTTACAAAATGGCTTATAAATCTGAGGTAGATTAATAAAACATTTCAGACAAAAGAGTCTTTAGGAAACTACCGGAGAACCATCATAAATTCAGAACTGACAAAAGGACAAAGTAACAGGAAAATAATGGCCTGAACCTGCTAGCTAGAAAAATAACCAGGACAATGAGTCTTTATTGCCTTTACATCTTCCAAGGTGCTCAAGAAATCTCTGGCAAATCAGGATGAGAAACAAAGCTAGATCGGAAAGAATAAATTTTAGGACTGGCTGACAAACTGGTATCCTCTGGAGACTATACCTTTCTAATTCTACAGAAGGATCAAGATTTCAGCTAAATCTTCAGCACCAATGCAACTATAACAGTATAGGCAGTATAGGTCACTGATGTCAACCCCCTTCCCTTCTTTGTCCTCCCAACCTCCCCGCATTTTTTCTAGCTCTCTTTGCTTCTATTTCGTAAGTCTCAATTTCAAAAATTTCATTAACTTGAGGCAGTCATCATACCTTCACTGTGTGCAACATTTCTTATAACTTGTCCTATTTTCAAAGAACGGAGCTAGGATTTGACAACAGCAACTTTAAGACATCTCAGACAACTAGCAGTGCTCTTTGTTCTGCAATAGGAATAGTTATTATTATCCTTAATATCACCAAAAAGACTGTGTGTATGATCCCTCTTGGACAATTGGAAAGTGAATACAGGGTTAGTAAATTAGAAACTTGTTATTTTATATGTAGAGTTGGGGAATATTTTCCTCTCTCCTTTGTAGATCAGCAATAAAAGATAAACAACACTGTTGCTCAACAACTAGTCAGGTGAAAGGTTATGTACTAAAACCACTGTAATTTTGACATCCTGACTGTAATTTTCTGTTTACTGCAAAACAAGAATCTTATTCATAGGCCCATCTGTTCAAGTGAAATTAATCTGAGTCTGGTGGGGGAATCCTTCTCATTTCCACCTCTTACCCCCAATTCTCGAGGCTCGTTCTTCACCATTTTCTTCTCTTTAACCTGTCATGCACATTCCCCTCCCACACAGACTTTAAACATGCAGCATGGTGCTAGTCCATTCTGCTGCCATTACAGACAATATAAGAGTTTTGAACAAGAGCCTTGCACAGTGTTTTTGTAAGTAAAGCACACTTAAATGGTGCAGCTCCTTTAAAAGCCTCATGGCCATTCATCCCTAGGCAGTTGCCATTTTT